GAATGGTGGCTCATGTTTGTAGCCCCCAGTAATCAGTTGTAATTTCGATTATTTTTGGAGATCCAGGTCGGTGTGCAGCAAAGAAATACGCATGTACCATTGAGCGACCCAGGCGAAGCAGGATTTTGGATTGTCGGAACCCTTTGGACGTGCGTCTGGCGGATGATAGACCTCTGCAGCCATATGTGGCGAACATTACATACAGCTAGCGAAGATGGTAGAGTTGGTCGGTCGTCCAGGAGAAATTTTACCTCACTGCTCGCCAGTTCTCATACATGATGGCCCAGTTTTTAGTCCTAGATCAATCCCAGGTATCGCACACTATTGTTTCTGGGAAATGTTAATCGTGCTAAGAAAGACTGATGTTTCTTCTTTACGTGAATGTCACTAGTAGGTAAAAGGTTTTCTTATGTAATAAAACGAAATGTTTTAATACAGTTTAAACATTTATTTGAACGAGTAAACAAACACACAGTACAACCTTTGGGCTTAAACTTAGACAGACTGCGCAAGCCGTCACTATCTACTGCACAAGATGGCGGGGGCAACATAATTAAAGCCAACTACATAATAAACAATACTATGATAATACAAATATTAAATTCATCTTATTTTTTATATTACCAACTCCACGGTTCATATCTTCTCTATTGATAGGTTGAAAAATTAAAAAACCAGCTGCTAATTGACGTCGCGATGGCGGAGGTATCAGCGGTTCACTTTGGCAATTCATGTCGAGAGACGTGGTTGTAGAAGTCCTTCAACCTGATGATGAGCTAAAGAGCTCGAAATCCGAATCGTTAAAAACAACTTACTGTGAGTAGGAACTACCTTTTTAAAAAGGATCTGAATGTGCTTTTCCTAGTTGTCCTCTTATAAACGTTTCAAGGAGATAGGTTTAACATTTGTTCTAAAGCAGGGTGGTTTTTTCATACCTTGATGCATCAAGAGCTCTTGACAATTAAAAATAAAGTCAGAGGATTGTTCTTGGATTTCTCAAAGGCGTTTGATTCTTTAGATCATGAAGTATAGCTTGAAAAACGTTTCTATATTGGTACAGAAAGGATCAGTTTATAATTTCATTAAATTTTATTTGTTAAATAGGTCTCAAAAAACGAAAATAATCAATTTTATATATTACCAACTCCACGGATCATATTTTCTCTATTGATAGGTTGAAAAATTCCAAGATCTCCGTGGTTGAAAACCTTTATTAAATTTAGTAAATTACATGGACGTTTCGGACTATAACTAAAATAACACTCACGATATTGGAATAACGACCGGGCATGAAAGGCACGACCTTTCTAATTAGGCATTAATTTGTTTTCTGGACTTTAGACCTAGGGGGAAAATGGACCCTCAATTAAAAAAAAGCCCTCTAATGATGAACATTATAAAGAATATCTTCCTATAAATGTTTGTTTTGCTTTGAAGAAAAAAAATGCCTTTGATTAATGATTATTTCAAAAGTTGAACGGTTTATATTCACAAAAACAAACCAAATGCTTTCCTCATCAACTGTATGAGGTGAGATTAGTAGTCCTAGCATTCGACGAGGCATTAACCGACAATGAAATCTGTTTGGGTCCTTTATTATATCTCGCATCTAATGAACTCGATTGAGTTTTAACGGTGGTAGTCAATGAAGAAGACTGGAGTTGGATGATTTGTTTATGAACGAAGTCGGAGAAGTCAGCCCAAGTGGGAGGTTCGGAATGAGATCCGAATTCTGATTCGAATCGTTCACGGGTCCGAGTGTCCAACAATCTCATAGCGAATGCGGTTAAAATGAAACCAGCAGGATCAGTCAAATGGAGCTTAAAAAATGAGGTTGCGCTTTCCATCACCTGAGAGGCAAATAACTCCAAAGATGAGAGCGAACTTCTGGAGATTGGTGTAAAATTAAAGATATTCATCAAGTGAAATGTCGCTTGTAATTTCTTATTCTCGTATTTCTTATTGAGTGCCTCCCAAGCTTGTTTATAACCCTGGGCTGACAATCCAATGGTCGAGACAATTTGAGCGGCTGGGCCCTCCAACGACGACTTAAGGTAGTGGAATCGCTCTATATCGCTTAAACTCTCATTCTCATGAATAAGCGACAAAAAAGTGTCACGGTACGAGGGCCAATCGCAAATACGCCCTGAGAAGGAGGGGATATTGACAATCGGGAGTCGTAAATTATTGTGATTTTCCTTGATATTTCCATTGGAAATCTTTCTCTCCTGGTCAGAACGGGGTGGGCGAGGGAGTGTGGTATTACCCAATGACAAGGCTTCATAAAAGGCAGATCTCACCCTAGCCTTGAGCCGCTCCGAATCCAACAAAGGCACATTCAAGGATTTGGAATACCGCCGAATTCGATTAAAAACCGCTAAAAATTTCTCATGTGTGGAATCCAGGCGAGATAAGCGGGCATTAAACAAGGGGGATTGCCCGATATCCGATCGGGTTTGCTGTCCTAAGAGGTTAGTCTCAAGAATATCGTCGGCCAGATCAGCCAGCTCATCCTTAAGGGCGTCCAACTCGCCCTCCATCTTCTCCCGGGCTCCAAATTCATCATCCATAGTCGAACAAATATGGGTAAGAAGGAAAAAAAATGAATTCGACAAAAAGAAAAAAAAATTTCTCTTCTCTCTTCCTCCCCAACAAACGACAGTAAATCCGGCCCGGAGGACCACTTTATGTTGGAGAGGGGGGTGCTCGTCTTTCTTACACAGCCACCCCTCCGTTTCAACAATGCCGGTCACCGTCGCTGGAGAAAAGAGGAAAAGGGAAAGTGATAAAGAATATAGAAACGAACGACGTAAATTGACAGACTAGGAAAACCCACGAATTTATTGTAGGAATGAAAATGACAAAAAAAAAAAAACAAGCAACAAAGAGAAAAAAAAGGGAAATTGAAATGGAGAAACTCTCCCTGTACAATACAAAAGAAAATATTTTAAAAAATCGTGTTCTTTAGCATGCAAACAAATATACAGGGTGAATTGCTACTCGTGCTACAAACTTCTCCAGTAGATTCTTCACCCTAAAATGAACAAAAAAGTTCATATTGTCCATGGTCCGATTCTCAACCNACTTTCCGATTTACACAATTTTCCACTCTTTTTGTAGTTCTGGCTGAAATAAAACACAAAAAATTAGCCCAAACATTTTGCCACAGTCATCTTCTTATTGAAAAATTAACGGGAATTTCAACGGTGCTATTAGATTTTCAGAGAAATGTTTAGATTAAAAGATAATACCTGCAGGTTAAAATTAATTTAAATGGTGATTACTTTTATGAAATAAATCTATATTACAATATATGTCCTAGAAAATCAAATGAAATCGTTAAATATGGGTCCAACTGGGTACGACGAAATTTCCACGAGATAAGCGATGAATCCACCTGGCGAAAATGTCCTTTTTTGGCCGGATTTTAACGACTTAGACTGCAACGACTCACGGCGATACCCTGACGAGAGGGTCGGGCTGGTCCTCAACCACAGTCTAATACGAGAACTGAAGCGGCGCACGATGAACGAAGGCTGATGACTGAACTAGGTCTCCAGAAGAGTCTGCCAGCCGTTTTCGGTAGAGAAAATCCGACACCACGATCTCGTTGAAGTTGATGATGATAACGACAATTGATGGATCGTTTGGTGTGAGGGATGAAAATCCCCAATCGACAAATAACAGAGAGATGACTGTCTTCAAACATGAACGATCGTGGACTGACTCGGCGGCAGCCCTTTGATCCTCAGGGCTGGTACCCCTCCACCGGTAAAATAACAATAGAGAGACTTTCTCCAGCGCTTCTTGCAAAACATTAAAACTAAATTATGAATCCTTCCCTCCGTTATTTCGAAGATTTTCCCAATTAAAAAAAAAATATTAAAAAAAAGGACTAAAATTAATAGGGAAGGAAAATAATAAGGACAGCTATGGCGTTAACAGTAAGAATTCTTGGACAAAAGTTGAAAAATCATTCGCTCTATTGATAGGTTGAAAAATTCCAAGATCTCCGTGGTTGAAAACCTTTATTCAATTTAGTAAATTACATGGATGTTTCGTGCTCCTGGCCCATCATCAGAAACTAAACATAGAGAAATCTCATGGTATAATTCCCAATCTGAAGGCACACCCATGAATAATTTCCAATTTTTTAAATAAAAGTATTTATACCTGGACTATTCCAATGATACATATATATTATTTTTCCACCCCCTTTATTTGTTGAGGGGAATGTCGACAAAATTGTTTTAAAACTGTAATACAAACATATATTATAATATAAAGGGGGTGGGGAATTATACCATGAGATTTCTCTATTTTTAGTTCTGATGATGGGCCAGAATCTCGAAACGCCATGTAATTTACTAAATTTAACAAAGGTTTTCAACCACGGAGATCTTGGGATTTTTCAACCTATCAATAGAGAAATAATAAATTGTTTCGATTCTTTATCTAATAGTTACCAGTGTTGACTTATTGGAGTTCATGACTATACGCCATGTTGTTCGCCAAACATCTTTCGAGGGTGGCCAATTTTTTTTCCTCTCATTTAAGATTACTACTGCACTTTTGTAAAAGTGAATCTAGTTTTAGTTTTTCATTATTTTTGTTGCTTTATTTATCAATATTTTAAAGATGGTTTTAATTTTTTTGCTATTATTTATACGAAATGGATATTTGCATTTAATAGACATTATTTGCCTGTAAAAATAAATAAATAAATAAACTTCCGTTTTTTATTATTTTTTTGGTCTGCAGGAAATTGTTTGTAGTTTGATGTCGGGTTTTGACATGGATTCATGTTAATTATCGCTTCTCCTCCTGGGTCTGAACTACCGCCAATGGGGGTCTCGCCGGCAAATAGAAAATGGTCACTGCTGATGAGGGCGTGCCCAGAAACTCCCACTCGATCTTTCTTCTTGGGAAGCGCATGCGTTTGCGTTTCTCCCTCCGGAGACGAAGCTCTTTTAGGGTTCATCACTTGTTTGTATATCAGTTGCGGTGTATACACTATAAAGTGCACTCGGTCTAGTTTTTGTAAATGTTTACCGTTTTGGATCCGTAGCCCTTTGTGTCCTTTGAGAAAACGGAAATATCGACAGAGGTGGGAGATAAGATGATGAAAGCAGCGGATCCCGTCGTACATCAGAGTATAAGCATCCAGCACCACCTTCACCACTTGCACGTCCACCAGCACAATGTCGTCCTGCCGGAGGAGCCGAAACCGGAACCGCAGCCGGTCAAGAAGTCTTCGGGAGCGAGGAGGCAGGAGAAACCGCCTTACTCGTACATCGCCCTCATCGTCATGGCCATTCAGAACTCCCCGTCGAAGAGGCTCACCCTCTCCGAGATATACAGCTTCCTCCAGCAGAGATTCCCTTTTTTCCGCGGGCCCTACCAGGGCTGGAAGAACTCGGTCCGTCACAATCTTTCCCTGAACGAATGTTTCATCAAACTGCCCAAGGGTCTGGGCCGGTCGGGCAAAGGGCACTACTGGACGATCGATCCCGCTTCCGAGCTGATGTTCGAAGAGGGCTCCTTCAGGAGGAGGCCGCGTGGGTTCAGGAGGAAATGCCAGCAGGTGCGCGCCGTAGGGGGCACCCCGGGTTATCAGGGATACGAACAGCAACAGCAAATCCTACAACAGCAGCAGGTCGTCCAGCCTCAAGTGCAACCTCAGGACCTCTACCCCGTCCAGCAGTACACTTACTCCGATTATCCGGCCTATCCGACCGGCGACAGGGACCAGTCCTGGGGGAGGTACGTCCAACAGCCGGAGCTGCACGACGTCCACATGCAAGAATATTATCAACAGTACATCCACCCGCAAGCCCAAACACCCGAAAACAGTAAGTTGGATTTAAAATTATTTTAAAAAAATTAAACCTTTATAATTTTGTATTGAGACTTGATCCGGGATGAGGCCAATCGTAAAGAAAATACTTCCTTCGTCTAGCTTTCGAGGAATACGTCCATTTCATCAGGACTTAAAAAACTTTAATTTTAATGCGTCAGCCGATAAATAAATTTCGTCTTAAGCTTTTTTTAATTAATTAAAGTTTCATAATCTCGAAAGTTCGCTGACCGTCTCTACAAAAATTGTATTTAACCTACAACTGATTGGTTTACGACTGATAGTTTCAGTCCGAACCATTGAATATGATGATGCAAACCAACATAAATTTACATTACTTGGCTTTTTTCCTCACTGCTTTATCCAAACTCCTTTGTTATTTTTGTTTAATATTCTCGTAATTTTTTCTTCTGTCCTGCCTTATTTGTATACATTGTGCCAAGATTTCTATCTTTTTTTTTTTACTTTTAACTTCATAGAAAGAACTTCCTTTATTTATTTCATGTAAATTATTGTTAGGGGACACCAGTCCCAGAATAAAGTTATTTTTCTTCTTCCCCTTCCAGCCCAAAAGTCAAATTATGGTATGGAAACTTGTGTCTTTCTTATATGGTACGGTACTTCAATAAATATAGTTAGAACGTGTATTTCTTCCTTTTAAAAAGAAGATTTTTAAGCGAGAATAATTTTTGCCGCCCTGCTTTGTTTTTATGTTATATATATCATGTTGTTCACTTTACTCTTATGTTTATTGTAATTTGCGTCCTTTTTATATTATGTGTCTTCTTCAGGATGGTAAAAATTTGAGCTTTGTTAATCTAGTTTAATACATCAGTAGTTAGATACGTTTAAGTTATATAGCTTTTTTCAGTCAAATTAACCTTTTTTTCTTTTTTTCCTGTCTTTTACGCGTTTTATTTAATCTAATTTCAGGTTTCAAGTTACGATGTTATGTGATAGAACGGTAACTGATTCTCTTTTATTTTTCCTATTGTTAGCTCTGTACCTCAGAGCCTAGTCAATTGTACATAAAATAAAACACATAACAAACAAAAAAACACAAAAACACAATAAAAACAAGATAGTGTGTTTAGCATTCACAGAACCCCAGAGTACTCGATAGATTCCTCGGTGTAATTTGAAATAAATCGCTACATTCGCGCTAATAAATTACATTCACACACCAGAATTCGTTCACACTACCCCAGAATACTCGATATTCCTCGGATATCCTTTTTTTATATGTAAGCATATAAAGTACAATCTTTCCATTTAAAAAAGGCTCTTGGAAGACTATGTAAAAATTATCTACAATTTAAATTTAATATTATAATAATAATAAAAATATAAAATCAAATGATACTAATTTTATTTTGAGATTTTTTAAATATAAAATAATCGGGCTCTTGAAAACCACACTTTCCCACATTTCTCAAATAAAAAGTCATTAATTTTTATACAGGTTTTAAAAGGCTAATTAATTACTTTATATATTTAGAAAATCTCAAATTAAAATAAGAATACTTTGTTTTTATATTTTTTATTTTAATTGTAATTAATTTTCATATTATTTTTAAAACCATGTTGACGACATTCCCCTCAACAAATAAAGGGGGTGGAAAAATTATATATTCATATTATATATAATTATATATTATATTCATATAATTAATTTTTAAAAATTCACAAATATACAAGAATTTCACTTTACATGCTTATATTTCATACCGTCTCCTAATTTTTTTTAAATTTAGAAAAAGATTTTATTTGAAGTAAAAAATGGTTATTCTGAAATTAAAAATATTAATTTTAAATTACCTTTAATTTATTGTTATTTTTAGTCCAAAAGGGTAGAGTGAATTTTTGTCCTGGGTCTTGTGTTTATATTAATTTATCGAAACGATCGTAATTTATTAGCGTGAAACGAATCGGTTGTTTAACCCCGCTTCAGAATATCAGTAGTCTAGGTTCAGTGTATGATTGTGGGGAATCAAAGTAATTTGTCAGCGAAAATGTCGTGGGTTCCAGGTCCGAGGAATATGGAGCGCGTCAGATTTCTGTTTGCAGACAGTGGTCATGTATATTGTATGTTTTGTTTCTATCCTGTAGTTGATAACCCGAGGTACAAAACAAAGGCTTGCATTTTATGATATTGACTTAGTTTTAGAAGAAGCGAGACAGTAATCAGATCGAGACGCTCAAATGTCTGCAGGTTGAAAAATACTTGTGTAAGACAAAAAAAAGACGTTCTGCATATATGCAAATATATATGCATTATATGTGTGTATAATAGACGTATAGATGTCCTCAGCTGTTTGTCGGCTCCTAAACTTCCCACATTATATATCGGGTTGTCCGGAAAATAATGCAGGATTTTAAGTTTTCATTAAAAAAAATCTATATAAAATATTCTGTTTACGTTTACAGGATTACTCATTTGTATGNATTTTGATTAAAGAACATTGCTTTAAAGTAACTAGTTTCTTTTTTTTTGTTTAATACCAAAATCCTGCATTATTTTCCGGACAACCCAATACATATAATTATTCCAAAGGTTGCTTCTTTTTATAAATCTAGGTTACTTTTTTGTTAAGAACAGTTACAACCAGTTGTCTTTTTTATAAATTGTATATATTTTGACGCACCCCTGCTTCCTCTTCAGCATTCGATTTTCATAATCGGGGGCGCACCTGAATAATTGTAAAGAATTTTGCTTGCCGACGTGGAAACAGGGCTCCTTCAAAATACTGGGCATAGGGTCAGACCGTCTTCACTCGCGGGTGTGTTGAATTATTCAACACGTTTCGGCATTGCGCCATCTTCAGTGGGTTTTAGTATTTCGCTGTCTGTTTTTTCGTCTGTCATTTTATCTATTCCAGGAACCTTTTTGAAGTTCCTCGCTGTATTTTTGTATTAATAATACTCGTCACGAGGATTTTGTATTTTATCGTTTGGTGAAGTTTAACTGTTTGGTAATGCCATGAGGTATATATCATGCCCCGAATTGACTATAGAGGAGTATATTTCTCATGGGTTTGATGATGGCAGCCCAAGCGATACTGATTACTGTCACCACTGACTGATCCAGTGCCAGACTAACCTGATAAAGAAAGGATTTTGTCCGTCATGGAAGAAAAGTCTGCCTGTCTGCATGTTTTAATTTTAAAAATTATACATTGTACCGGTTGAAAAGAATAAGAAAGCACTGATCTACAGGTTTGGTCCATGAATCTATGGCAGCTATGAATTTTTTTTTTTATAAAATCTATTTCTATCTATATTGGTAACTTGTGTTGTTGAGTGTTTGTGGTTGTAAATGTCTCAATGAATGAAGCCATTTTTTACATTCTAGATTTTATTTTTTATTTGAAAAATTGAAATTGTGGTTTCGATGGAACCTTTCGCCCAAAGGAACTTTTTTAAATTCAAATTCTACGACCTCAGCAGATTTGGGAGTTTTTAAATTATTTTTCCATTCGAGAAAAACTGGAAAATTGTTCGAGGAGGGGCTCGAGTTGTTTGAAAAGGCCTTCCGACCAAACATGAAACAATGTAAAAAGCGCTATTGAGCACCACCCTCTGAGCTTTTGGGTTAAAGCAAATCCAAAAAGAAATATATCAAAGTCAATTTTTTTAGTATCTAAGGAGTTTTTTTTATGGTGAATTTGGTTTTGATCCGCGTTTTTTAATTTACTCAGGCCCTGAAGATGACCCGAATAAAGGTCGAAACTTCGGCAAAAATTAAAAATTTGTTTTTCTAAACTACCTTATTCTTGACCGCTCTCACTTCAACAAATTTATATGTATTCCATTTATGTTTTAGTGGTCAATTGACCAAGTTACTGAGCACCACCCTTTGAGTTTTTGGGTTAAAGCAAATCCAAAAAGAAAATAACAAATTCAATTTTTTTAATATCTAAGGAGTTTTTTATGCTGAATTTGGTTTTGATCCGCGTTTTTTAATTTACTCAGGCCCTGAAGATGACCCGAATAAAGGTCGAAACTTCGGCAAAAAATGAAAAATGTGTTTTTCTAAACTACCTTGTTCTTGGCCGCTCTCACTTCAACAAATTTATATGTAGTCCATTTATGTTTTAGTGGTCAATTGACCAAGTTACTGAGCACCACCCTTTGAGTTTTTGGGTTAAAGCAAATTCAAAAAGAAATAAAACAAAGTCAATTTTTTTAGTATCTAAGGGGGGTTAGTATCTAACAAATCTAGGGTTTTTTATGCTGAATTTGGTCTTGATCCGCGTTTTTCAATTGACACGATTTGTTTATTTGATCTTAGAAAATCCAAAGAAGTTTTCATGTTTCGCTTGGTCCGCACATGGGAAAAAGCGGAATATTATTTCTCATGAACTTCTAAGCGTTTTTCCCTTCCTCTGAATCACTGAATCATTCCGTTCAGTAATCAAAGTTTATTTGTTTTCTTCCAGTCGCTTACTTTAGACGCAGAAAATGCTTACACGATGTCTACGACATTGGGAAGTTCGGACTTACCTGAAAAAAAGGAGTCGACTCCTAATCTTTAATAACGCTAAATATTATCGAATTATCTCCTAGTTTTTCGTTAATTTCCCGGAAACATAGTGTTTTTTTTAGAAAAATCGAACAGTGCGTATCTAGTTTTCGACCGAGTTTTACGCCTTATCGTAAAGTTATCTTTCCTGATTTATTCCCGATAGCCGTAACGTGGTGTGATTAATAAAATAAAGAGACACCCTTTCGGATTCATTCTTTCCCCTGAATGAAAGAGCCCATTCACTTCCATCGTCGGATCGGTGAAAGCGCAATTTTCAATTCACAAAGTTCAACCCAGAAAGAATGTCTGAATATTGACATCAGAACTATATATAAATTATTATTTTCATGTCTTGGTTGAGATAAAAAAGTCTGTGTATCTCAACCAAGACCTTACATGAAAATAATAATTAATTGAAAGAAGTAACTTGGTCAATTGATCACTAAAACATAAATGGAATACATATAAAT